ACCACATTATACCATCAAAACTACCAATAATGTCAACTGTCAGAAATCTGTTTTTCCTTTCTTCCTTGCTTATCCTAAGATTTGGTTGGCTCTGAAGACTATCATTCTTCTCATACTATGCAGCTGAGTAAGCAAATCTTATCCAGTGTTATCCACCATTTGAAAGGTGCGGATGGGCAAATTCTTGACTTGCCCTTTAGAACTGTGTTTTTTCCAAAGCTTTGAATCCTGTGCATTGTGATAAGTAGGCCAAGCGTGTCTTTTTCTTCCTTCCTGCCTACTCACCTTCCCAGTCCTATCATTGAGTGTATGCATCAGGGGAATGTTGGATTCATCGTAAAGAAACAGTGTGAGGTTTCTTTCCCCGTACAAGGGTTGCTGACTGTTTTCCTCATGCAGATTCTCTGTCTCAGAGGCTGCTCTGGGTCAAGCATGGTGGCCAATGGCCTGGGTCTCAGGGTCACAACCAGGCTCTTTCTGTGATCTTCGAGGAGTAACTTATTTTCTGTGTCCTTAGATTCATCTTCTGGAGTAGTTTATATTCTGGAGTGTATATTTAAGGCTCTACTTCTAAAATGTATACTAAAATGTATACATAAAATGTATACTAAATGTATACATAAAATGTATACTAAATGTATACTTCTAAAATGTATATGTTTTTAGCCTCTCAACTGTTAGAAAGCCAGCAAGAAAAACAATACTAATAATGCAAGTAAAAATCATAGAAATCTCCCCATCCTGACTTACTTACATTTGAAGATGTGGAAACTCATAATTTTCATGTCCTAAATAATTTTTTCTTTTTCTGTAGACAAGATGAATTTATTGACTTCTCTCAGTGTTACAGAAAATACTTGCTTATTTAATCAGATGTACTTTTTTCTCCTCTCAAAGCCAGTGTAATAATCTTACTAGCAAATATTATAAACATCATCACATAAATTTTATAACACTTGTGTTAAATAAGTTCCAGCAAAATTTTAAATACTTTATAGTTTTAAAATATTTTTTATGATACATTTAACCAAGGGAGGGACAAATAAAAATTATTCAACAATTATTGATAGTATTTATTAATTTAAAATGCTTGATTATGGAAAGAGAAAATTGTTTTTTTATTAGTTCTTGTTTCTCTGCTAGCTACTTATACATTTAGAAGGGATTACTTTTAGGGTTTTCTTTTAAATGATAGAATAATGTATGATAAAGGTTAAATGGAATCCTATTCCTAAAAAATCACATTTTCACTCAATCTGATTATAACAATAGAAAATGAACTAGAATAAAATGCAAAACTATGTTCCAAAAATATAATTTTAATAGATAATTTAGTAAGAAAGAAGATTTTAAAAGGAGATTGTTTTTATAATTTTCCTGTACTTTTGAAACTCAGAAAATAGTAAAAAGAATAAAGGGACAATGTAATTAAAAAGGACTTTCTCAGTTCATGGCTCCTGGCAACATAGAGAGTTTTGTCATCTTTGAGTTCATTCTGACATAAAACCCTTATAAAATGCGGCATATGCTGTTAGTGATCTGAACCGTTTCTGAACAGTATTAATCTTCTCTTGGAAAAATGGAGTCTTACCACAGCGCCTCTCGGAAGTAAGATTAAACACAGACATCTCATGGCAAAATAGCTAGATCACAAGTATAGATGGTACTAATAATCTGACTATATGATTCAGAGTTTCATGGTATGCGTGAGAAAATTTAGTCTTGAAGTGAAAGTGTCTTTTGTACTAGCTCTGGAAGAGGAACTCCAGCCATGAATGGGATTGCGGCTGAAGTTTGCTTTACTGCTGATTGCTGAGTTGTGCTTATGCACACTTAATTCTTGTCCTGTTTGGCTGTTAGTGTGTAGGCAAGGTTATGTGAAAGTAATTATTGTCTCATTTTACTCTTAACAAATTCCTTCGGAGTACTGTGTTCCTGCCCTCATGAATGAGCGATGCAGAGCCTGGGTCAGAATTTCGATCCCAAATTCCTTGCAGGATCTTGACACAAATATCCCCAGCATAGAAAACTGAAATTGTATGTTGCATAAAAACTTTTCTTCCACTCAGAGTCCTCCTTTATTCTTATTCATTTTAATAAATCATTTTTATTGTTGTTATGTTAGTGTTTTCCACTGATACAGCAAAATAATGGAAGCTTTGTAATTTATGAGAGGCCATTTTAGCTCAAAGTTCTACAAATTCAAAAGCCTGTTTCCAGCATCTGCCCAGCTCTAATAAAGAGCATATGGTGCATGGGATCGCAAATGGATTATGTATAAGGAGAGCACGTGATGAAACAAGCCAGAGAGAGATCAGTTTGGGGAGGGGCCATTTTTTGCTCTTTTACAGAAATACTCTCAAAAACTAAGCAGGGCTTCAAAGAACTACCTTAATTCCATTTTAGGGAATAACTACCAATGACCTAACCTCCTGCAGCTGGCTCCTGGTGGTCCCACTTGCTCTTAGCATCATCAAGCTTCCAACGTGTCATCTGTATCAGCAGCTTACATAGCATTTTTGACTGATTTTTAGCAGCTCATTATATGGCTTCATTTTTTTCAACTTTTTAAAAGCAGAATCTAACATGGAAAGTGGACTAGTTATTAGTTAGATGTTAGATCCTTCCTTTGGAGCTCATCTGCTCTCTGTTCCTGTTGCTGTTGGCGAGGGTACTGTTTACTTCTGTTTGGATTACTCTTTTTTTCTGTCTCGCCCTCTTTTTTATTTTTGTCATTTTTTGCAGTCACTTTCAGTAGCCTGAATTTTTCCTAAAATGTAATTCCTTTAATGTTTCTTCTGACTGTCAGATCTTCATTGACTTCTTAGGAGTCCGAGGATGAAATTCAGACTTCTAATTTAAAAGGTCCTGTATTATGAGGTACCTGATTTATTTTTGGTGCCATTTATTTTCATCCAGGATTCTTTGTCCCAACTCTTGTCACGTGGATCTCTGCCCTTTGAATTCTCAAGTCTTTACACCTTCAAATATTGTCCTTCCATTTCCTTTTCCTTGCCTCTAAGTCTCACCTGGATAATTCATTTTCACTTTGAAGAGTTTGTTTAGATTAAGAGTTTGTTTATGATTTATCCCTTAAAGAGTATCTCTGAAAAGTATAGATTAGAGTGCTTTTCTCCTCTTGTGGTTCTTACCAGAACATGGCCAGTATATAAGGTGTGAGCAAAACTTACGGTGAATGTTCAATTAATTATACAGTAGAATGTTCAATTAATTATACAGTAGAATACATATTAACATCATTTTCACTGAAAATATTCCCCTCACTTTGTACATGCCATCCCATCATTTATGCTGCTTTCTGAAGCAGTTCTGATGATCTTTCCCTGAGTCTTTATAAGGTACATTAAAAAATATAGTAAACGCTGCTGCTCAGCGCCATTTAGTGGAAAGGTAGGCTCATAGAAACACTAAGTGTGTCCTCATCCATCTTATTCACCAGATGTGCACTGTGTGTCTTCTGGTTCTTCCACAAGTCAAAATGACTGTCAAAGGTAAATGTTTGGAATTAAATTGGGACATCAAAGCAGCCGTGATGGTATCACTACAGACGTCTTCCAGAACTGCTTTGGAAGTATAAAGAATGACAGATTGAAAGTGTTTGATGAGAGGACAAGTATTTTGAGAGGGATTAATGGCAAAATTTTTCTTACTGGCATAAATTTTTAAATTTAAATATTCAATGTATTTTAATCTCATACTTAGGTGTTATAATTTTCATTTATTTTACAGTAATCTCTTTTGGACCTTAAATTCTGTAAGGCTAGGGATGTCTGTACATGGTTTACTACAGTACCTTTTAGTTGGTGTTACTAAATCTTTCCTATGAATATGAAAGAGTAAAAAGTAAAGTAACTGAGGACATGCAACATATGAAAAAATTTACTGGAAGTTTTACTCGATAACCAGAAGTATAATTTAGACATCTTCGTTACCTTACTCTGTGTATATCCAGTATATGTGAAGCATGCTGTAATAAATAGAATGGTTATAGTTGAATGCCATATGATCAAAAAAATGTTTGAAGACGTCAGGTCTCCCACAATTTGCTTATGAATACTTAGGGGTGAATAACGTGAATATTGTCGAAATGGATTTTATTTTGGAACTTCTGAATTACTCAGTGGTTGAAGTGAGAAATTGAGTGCGAAAAGCAATAGAAATTTGAAAAGGATGAAAAATAATATAAATCATGAACTTACAAATATGTAATACATAAGCGAGAGTGGTGAGTAATGGAAGAGTAGTTAGTACACAACAATGGAAAAGGATTAGAAACTCAAAAAAAGAGACCTAATATGAATAATTTAAAATATAAATAATTTAAAATCTGTTCAGAATGATGTTTTATACACCAAATGACACAAAAACGTTTAGCTAATAAATGTCTTCAGACATTAAAATTTTAATTCTTATCTCAAACTATGTAGGAAAACTTATAATTATGCTTTTTGATATAAAATAATGGAATTATATCATTTTACACATAAAGATCTTACAGTTGATTTCAATTTTGTGTGTGTCCCTGGTTCATTTTCCTCAAGATTAGTGGTTTAGTTGTGCATATCTCCTTAGACATTTCTTCCCTCCCTGTTTGGTATCATCAAAAATCCTAATTTTATAAGAGAACTAATATGGAGAAATTTTGTTCATGGACACAGAGAGAGGAAGATGACACAACCACTGCACTAGACACACCACTGGTTGTGGCAATAAGCTTGACTGTCATGAGGTCTACTATAAACACAGTTCATATGTTGTTGTTTAATGTGTTCATTGTTTATCAAGGATAAAGTAAATTTAAAAATTTTTTTAGATTATTGAGTTAAAATGAACTGAGTTTTAATAATTGACTATTTTTCAACATTTTGAACAAAATGCAGTTCTTCAAATTTTATAGGGATAACATAAAGTTCATCTTTTGACCTTTTGAACATAAAGTCCTTATTGACCATAACATTAATCTGTCTGTGTTTTTCCAGAAAGAAAAGATGAAGATTTTGAAGAGAAGAAAGTTATTAAGAAAAAAATTAAAGAACTTAAGTTTCTAGATTCTAAGATAGCCCAGAATCTTTGTAAGTATATTTCAGTGCTATTAAATTACCAAAACATATGTAGATGGTTTAAATTATTTCATTTTATGACTTGTTTTTCATTTTATGGTTCTTTTAATTTTTTGTTATTTGCATAATAAATTCAAATAGAATTCATCTTTATGCAAATTATGAGATTAAATTCTTCAAAAGATTAATGCATATTATAAATAAGAACAGGATTTGTTTTGAAATTCTACATCCCATCATTGAAATGAGAATTATATTTTAAAGTCTCATTTTTAAGTCTAAAAATAAAGACAAGAAACTCCGGTATTGACATCATATTTTGAAAAAAGTGAATTGTTTCTTTTATACCTCTGAATTTTTATTGTTTGTGATATTTTGTCACACAAAAAAGGAAGTCAGAATATTAATGGAAATAGAGTTGATGAGTAAAATAAAGTCCATTATTCCATTTTAGCATTTCAAAGTTGTTCTTCAAAAGTACTAACTGGAAATATTTTACATTTAATTACTGTTACAGAAGTTAAATACATAGTGTTAAACTACGTTTCTGATTAAATTACTATGGATAAGAAGGCAAATTATTTTGCGCCTGTGCTATTTCTAATTGCATCTTAAGTACATCAAACATAGTTCTATTTGGAGGTGAGACAATATGACACGCACATATATACACACACACTCCTTTTTGATGGTGCAAAAAGGATATAATATGGAGAATCTAGATTAGGAAGAGAGTTAGCATAGGTTTTAGTTATTAACATACCCCAGTTATTAACATGCCCCCAGTGAGTTTTAGCAAGTATTGCAACAAAATTGTTCTCCAATGAGAGAATAAAAAATCAGGCAACTGATCAAAAAGTTTCGTTAAAGAGAATATGTGCAAAAGGTACATTTGACATTCTTTTTTGTGGAAGTTTTGGAAATAACTCCCCTTCATTTACTATGCCCGTGAGTCCAGTTGTACGTGTGGGCCTGCTAAGGTTCCCAGGAGCATTGTGGAGGTGTTAGTAGTATTGGCCAATATTTAGTCTCATTTTTAAGTCTATTTTTTCTGAATTTGAACTGATCATTCATACACTGGTGCTACTTTCAAATTGTGTATCACCATACTACATGCTTGGGCCAAGGAAAATATGAGTAAAGATGACATCATTTTTGGCTGGGAGGATAAGAAATTCAGAAATCTCTTTCTGTTGATAATCAGAATGTTGCCCATCATCTTGGTAAGATGGTCATAATCAGCACAACCTTATCCTTGTGAGTGATGGACATGTACTCTGAATTAGACATAATTTTTTCTATGTGCGATAATTTAGTCTACTGATACTTAGAGAATTCTTTCCTACCTTCCCCCAAAAACATCATCTCAATTCAGAGCATTACAACATTAACTTGGATAAATGAGAGAAAGTTCTATCCTTGGTGATCTAAAAGAGATGATTGTTTTTAGAAAAATATTTGTGAATGCACTATATCTTACTAGTCTTCAATCTAACTGGTTGCTGAAGAACTATCATTTTGAATATATCATTTTCTGCATTTATAATTTTGCTTAGACACCTCAAAGAGAATAATAACTGGTAAGACTGTTATTCTTATATTGTAGAAAATATGCTAAATATGATGTGGTAAATAATTAACAGTGTGCTAATAATTTCTGATTAACTTTGTGTGCTGGTTCTGTGCTTGTCAATTTTTGTTTTACTATAAGCCCATGAGAATGACATGCACATTGACATTTTAGGTTCAAAAACGGTGGCTTTCACGTTAAAGGGATGTGAATAAGGCAGAAATAGTTAAATATAGTGGGTATCTATTCCTATTTATATATAACAAAATCACATTATTATCATAGAAAAGGATCCTGCTTGTGTTGCTTGCTTTAACTAGAGGGTACATACCCCACTTATGTAGTTGAGAAGTGTGTTTTAAAGTATGAGATAAAAGATCCAGAATTTATAATCTGTCGTATTATGATGTCATTCACTCAGAATTATTCTTGCCCTCTCAGATTGTAGGAAGTTTCGTGATTGAAGCTTTATGAAGCTTTAGAAGCCTGTAATCTTCACTGTAATTATAGTTGGATTCACAGCTGGTTTTTGTCTATGAAATTTAGAGTTTTGAGATACTGTAGTCTGAGGAGAATCATGTTTAAATAGTGACAACTGTTTTTCAATGAGATAATTTTGAGTAAAGCTGTGGTCATTAGTGGAATACTGATACTAGAATGGAGAGATTCACTTGTAAAGTTCATTGAAGAGAAAGATAAGCCCGTACTATGTAATTTCTCCTCAGATTCTTTTAACTGAAATATTCTGAAAAATTTTGAGAATTTCTGTATATTTTTAAAATAAAAAAGCTCACTAATTTGCCTAGTTAAATATTATGTAGAGCTTTCTGCATTTTGAAAGATTTTGACAAGACCTTGGGCCCATCATTAACCATAAAATCCCTGGATCAAGAGTGATCCCAGAACTTTACAGGATTCTGGTTTTTTTCCGCATTTCTTTTGAGCGTCTGGGCTGTAAAGGGAGAAACCCTAGACTCTAGAAATTAATGTGGATGTTTTACTTTAAATATTCATAAATTGCCAAACAGAATGACTGAGTCCAAGACCTGCATGCTCTACCCTTTAATATCAAACCCAAAGCTTCCTCCTGGGATCTGTATAATCACACTTAGAAGGGTAAGATGTATGTTAATAAAAAGATTCATTTTTATGGATGTTTTGGAGGCTTCAACAGAGTATCCTTCTATTATTCTCAGTAACTTAAAAAGTCTGTTCTTATCTTTCAAATTATCTCCTAGGCAATAGGTCATTTTTAACTCTTCTGTAATTTTTCCCTCTGAGTATTAAAGTAAAAGCTATTACTTGATCTTTGAGATTATTTTTTCCAGTTTGGGCTATATAGGAATCGACATTTCTTGTGTAGGCAGCCCATATTTGGGACTCTTTGTGTTCAGTGATACATGAAGAAGCCAATGATGAGACTGTAGAACATGTCCTTTGTTCTACATCTTTAGGTGATACATGTCTTGAGTCTAAGAAATGTAGTATAAGAATAAAGTTTTGTGAGTTTTCTGAAAAATGATATCTTTATCTACAGATAAAATGTCTTTACAGATGATATAGATGTTCAATAAATTTTTAAAAAATTAATGTGCTTTTGGTAGCAAGTTCTGAGTATGGCCAAGAAATGATGTGGTTTGAACATGAAAATGTAATAGTAGAATAAAGAGTAAACTGGCAAAAACATTATGTATAAAACTGTGAAAATTTCTTTCTCTGCCCTCTAAAACCCTTGAGAATATCATAATACTATATATTTAAATATCAAGAAAATTATAAATGATGTTGGCAACTCTTAATAATATCGGACCCCTTGGGAAATTTTATCATAAAAATTTGTTTTCTAAAGTGGAACTTTGAAGATTTAGTTGCATGCAAATTTATTTCTCTAGCATATTGTCTGCAACATTTCTGAATAGTAAAGTACTATTGCTACTTGTAAAAATGTTAACATACTACTTAGCCAGGCTCCAAAATGTTTTTTCTAAACTAGTAGAACCGAAAGATACTGTGAAGCCAATAACATGTGTTTAAAAACATTACATACACATACTGGAGTTTTATCATTCTTTTCATTACAATGTGGTGTTTCTATACTGTATCTTACATATTTTTATTTGTTTTAAGTCACATGAAAATTGGCATCCTTCCTATGATAGACAAATAACTATGCATTTAAAAACTAGCCTAATAGTCGAGGATTTTCATGTTACAACTGGAGAAGAAAATAAAATGTATAAAGGAAAATTCCACCTTCATACTTATTGTATGAATTTATTTTTGATTTTATAAGTAGAACTAAATCTAAAACTCCTTTGTTAGCTTGCTCTTTATGAACTGTTTCTCCCCGCCCTTTCTCTTAGCAATCTTCCTGAGCTCTTTTCGAGTGCCATATGAGGAAATCAAAATGATGATACTGGAAGTGGATGAAGCACAGTTGGCAGAGTCTATGATTCAGGTAAACAAACAAGCAGCCCTTAAATTCCAGCATTTCATTGCAAACTCCTCATTAAACAGAAATCTGTAAGTGAAGCAAAATTCTTAACCAAGTCATTCAACTGGAAAATCATTGCTGCATAATTAGCTTTAGCATAGCTTCTGCATTGCCAGGAGACAAAACTCTGCATCTTCTCTTAACTGAAAACTAAATATAATGCTATCACAATGATTACATTTCAATTATTTTAAATGCCTGTGAAGGCAAAGTGTTTAATTTTACTTACATATTTTTATTTTTGTTTCAGTTAAGAGTGGTGGTATCTTAATTTAAATTTTTGTAAACCTTTATGGAATGTGTTTCTTATGCTTATAAAAATTGCATTATCGTTTAGCATAGGAGAGTAGGGAAGTTTCTAATAGTTACCTTCGCCAACAACTCTTAAGTCCTTGGGAGATCGTTTGCTTAGTACTCTTTATTCATTCAGAAGGTTTTTTTTTTTGCAATAAGATCTCACTGTGTAGTTCAGGTCCTCACTATGTAGCCCAGACTAGCTCTCAGACTCAAATTTGTGATGATCCTCATGTTTTAGTCTGCTGGGATTAAAGATGTATACCACCATGCTTAGCTAAAAGCCAGAGGAGTTTTCAAATGGATTTTAGCCTCATATTTTTTTAATCCAATGCTAGTGTAGTACCAAGATCACTTTCCAAATTCCACATATGAGTTGTTTTTTTTTAATATATCTTCATAGAATTTAAAGTTGGGGAATCATAGCACAAATGACCTTGGGAAAGAATCTCTTCAGTTTATGTCCTTTTGCTCTATTACAGATATAATAGTATGCATAATACAAAATACAGAAATTACAAAATAATTTTCTATGAAAACCAGAAAATAAAATTATTCATTAATGTCAAGAAGCAATTAAAATTATTTTACATGTTTTAACTCATCAAGAAATGATGTCTTTAGTAGCTTTTTTGAGTTTACCCTATTAATATGGCTTCTAAAATGCAGTAGTGATATATTCTCATTTAAAATTTGTGTGTCTCTAGCATTCATAAACTACCTTATTTGATAACCCTTCTGTAAGCATTTTTCTCCCCTCTGGCAGCTGTATTTTTATAAGCTGAATTTTGATATTTATTGTTGTTGATTGTGTAGGTAGCTTCTTGCTGGGAGCAGATACCATGTTCCTTAAAGAAAAAAATTTTCTATTTGAAACATGTTTGTATTTCTTATAATGAATTTGTTAAATATTTACAGAATAACTTTTAACTTGATTACAAGAATGTTTCAGATGATCATTTGGCTTTTGTTGTCTACAGATAGAAAAAAGGTCATTTGCATTTTACAATTCATGTTGCAAATAGTTTAGCTTCTTATAACTTCTCAATGTATTTTCTATTGCTGCTATAATGGGTCACCACGAATTCCATAATTTAAAATTAAGCATATTTATTAGGTGACATTTCTGTAGGACATAAGTCTGGCATTCGTCTGGCCTGTGTTCATTTTTCTAGGCTCTAGTGAAGAGTTGTGTCTTCCTCTATTTCAGCTTCTCAAGCCAGTGGTGTTGTCTCTCTCTCTTTCTTTCTTGGTCACTGCTCTGTCTCCTTCTTCCACTTACAGTATTTTTGTGATTATATTTTCCACTTATAGTATTTTTGTGATTACATTGGACTTGCTCAGATAATCTAGCACAATTGCCCTAATTTGAGATCAACTGATAGCAACCTGGAGCCCATGTGTAAATTTAATTCCCTTTGTCATGTCACCTGTATTTTCATAGGTGCTGAGAAGTTTACCTCTAGTTGGATATTGTTATTATGCATACCATACTTAATAAATATAAGACATTTTATGAGTTTAAAGTCTAAAATATTTTGAACATAAATTTCCCATATATTCATTAAAAATAAAATTTCAGGCTATTTGAACCCTTTAAGTTTAATCATATTTTCTCAGTTTTAATACTAAAAATGGTATGGTTTAAATAAGGCTTGGACACAAGAGTATTAACTTGTAATAAGCATTATTTTTGGCTTTGTTCACTGTCATGCTTTTATTTCCTAAATGTTGTTATTTATTTCTATGTAATAAGAGATCTGTAGCATATTATTTTTCATGGAATTTGTGCACATCATTTTTTAGCCATTTAAAATAAAAGCACATAATTAAAAGGCTTTGTCCCACTAGACTTTTATTATTAATTTCTGTTACAAATGTTTGTTGTATCTACTGTGTGCAGAGTAGCTATTAGACTGTACTAGTGATAGGCTTTGCTTTCGTGGAATTTATATTTCATGAAAAGAAATGTCATTTCCTACAAGATATAGTGTGCTTTATGAAGTTCGGTTTAGTACCACAGAATGTATTTGGAGAATGCATTCTGTGTGAATGTGGAGGCGAGGTTACTTTAAGGTGAATAAGAGATTGATGAAAAAAAGGTGGGGGGAATTCTATGAAAAGTACAGCTATCGGCATTTATTCTGGCAGCACTAACACTGGGCTGTGGAGGAAAACTGCATGTGTTTCGAGAACTTGCAGAATTATCTTGGCAGAGCTTTCAGATTTACACAAGGCGTGAGAAACTTGTTAAGATGAAAATAAAGGCATGTTGGCTGATGTATTTACAAATCACGATCATTTTTCAACATTAGAGTGCAAAAATAGCAAGATGAAAATTAATAAACTTCTGTTGAAAGGTCAAAATTAATTATATTAACTAAATTATTTAAGGGGATTTGGTGATCATCATTTCCAAGAATGCTAAAGAAATCCAGAGCCCAAATGTAATGAGTAACCTGGACAATGCAGCTATCAGCAAAATAGTTAAAAAAATACAAATAAGCAAGTCTTTTCATCTCAGATGATTCCAAGAAGAGAAATTTCATTGATGCAGAGAAATTACATACCTGTATTGTTTTTGTCCACCCTGCTAGTATTAATAGTATTTCCATTTCCTTGACATGATCATTAATTGTCACTGTTTGTTGTTGTTTTTGGCCATCAATAAAGTTTCAGAGAGGGGTATATTGTGAGTCAGTGTATTGGTTACTTTTCCACCATGTGCACACAAAATACATGACACTGCAGCTTAAAGGAAATGTTTATTGGACTTACGCTTCCATGGGGTTTGGGTCAGTTGACTCTAAGGCAGAAAAAGCATGGCAGAAAGACATGATAGAAGGCCACTGTTCACTCCATCACAACCTGGAAACAGAGAGAGAGGAAGCAGTAGGGAGCTGGCCAGAAGATACACCTTCCCAGGTGTGTGCATGCCTCAGGGACCTTCTGCAACCAGGCCCCACTCCTTAGCTCATGACTCTTGGGGGACATTTTAGATCTAAACCATAACTGTTCAGATTCTTCTTTGATCTAAACCCTTTGGATACATACCATCCTCTAAGATGTCTTAACCAAAACATCTTTGAAATCTTTTTCTGCCAACGTGTAAATAAATAAACAAACAAACAACATACTGAAGGCTTAAGTATAATTTGTACTTTAGGCTTATACAGAAATTACCAGCATTATAATTTGGAATTGTGCGCACCAACCACTTTTTTTCTCCCCTCAATTTCATTATTAACGTACTGTGTTGTTACACTCTTGTGGCTGATCATGCTTTGACAAGGAGGATCTATATAGACTTTGTGGGAGCTGCTTAAATCCTTTATGTTCTACCGAGAGGGCATAATTTATGTGTATTCTCTAACCCTTCTTCAGGTGATTCTATTCATTAAGTATGTGAGTTGGGAGGGCACGGTGTGTGCAAAGGAGCTCGGGCATCCAAGTGAACCCATGATTTTCAGACTGTAGATGGTATAAGCAAGAAATCTTTTTAGTCATGAGAAGTTAAGTTCCTGAAGGATCTCTTTATATCCTTTTTTTGTCTACAGGATATATCCTGCGTGTTCAATGACCTTTCTATTTTTCTTCCACACTGGAAAATTTACTTTGTCTGTATTTTAAAAATATCTTCAAGTTTTATTATTGAAATATAATTCACTGGTTAATCTTGTAAGCACTGCCAATTTCAATTCCCTTGATTTCGTTTTTTCCTGTTCTTTCTTTTGCCTTTTAGTGGCAAATAGGATTTCTATTATTCCCTTGAGTAAAGTGTTAAGGTATATTTGGCTTTCCCTTAAATATCTGACATTTAATTTCCCTAACATAATGGATCACATTTATACAAGTGAGAAAGCCTTTCCTTTGTTATTGGTCCATTTCTTCTTTCTCAGTTGTCAGCCAATCAAATAAATATCTGGTAGTGTTTGACTTGAGTGTGTAGTAAGTTTGGAATAGAAAAAAGTTAACTATTAGGCTTAAAATAACAGAAGTTACCTGGGGGAAAAGGTGAATAGTAACTTCTTTACTGTTTTCCTTTCCATAGTTAATTAATTAATTATTCTAAAGGTTGAGAAATACATCTAATGATGATATTTTCTTCTCATTTTATTTTTTAGAACTTAATAAAACATCTTCCTGATCAAGAGCAATTAAGTTCTTTGTCTCAGTTCAAAAGTGACTATAACAACTTATGTGAACCTGAGCAATTTGCTGTTGTGGTAAGTACTGCATATCAGGGGTAATTAACTCTTAAGGAGATTTTTGTACTATGCAAACAGAAAAAAGAAAATGTAAAGCTCTTCTATGTCTCTGTTTCATACATTTAATGTTTATCTTGCTAAGCACATTCAAGAAAGGATGATTTAAATATATCTATTGAAACTGGCAATAAGTGAGGTTTAAGAGGCTATATTTAAATTTTATACACTGTTTAATGTCAGAATGTAAAATGAAAACTTGCTCTCCTTATGAATAGACTGCATTTGTGATTTATTCTAGAATTGTGCTTTCCAAAATTCCAAGAATAGCTTCAAATTCATGTTTTAGTCTCTCACTTGAGTTCATCTCTTACTTTGACTCTGAAATTAGAAATACTTTATAGTCTCTCGATAATGAGAGTGAAATGCATTCATTTTTAAAAAATCTAAGTTCCTTGATAATCATCTTGTTCATCCCTGTTTTATGGGATCTGGAATCTAAAGAGGTAAAAAATTTTGCCAATAGTATATACTAGCCGTATTACAATTTTCTCGAGCTGTCTTTCCTCTGCTTGTTTCTCATATCATTACATGATCATTTTTAGGTTCGTTACATTCAGTCATCACAGTTGATCAAGTACTGATTTTTTAATAGGATTATTTATTGTTTCATCTTTAGTTATATTAGCAAGCTCCAGGGCTGAGATGGAATCATATTTGATACAACTTCAAAAAATTCAAATTGGCTAACGTATCAGGTGTGTCTGTGCTTCATTCTTAGCATGTTACAGGTCTTTGCTACTAAACCCCGTCCTTTATTTTAAGTCAACCCTACTCAGCTCCTCTACTCATAAAATTCCAAGAAGCAGAAATTGAAAACAAAAGAATCAGAAGCAGGCTTGCCCTTATTCTCACAATCTTAAGACTTTTCTTGTAAAACCTTTTTATCTGAAAAATATTTTTCATTTCTTATCCAAATGGTACAGCTTACAAGTTGAGTTCACTGTAGAAGAGCTATAATTCATAAGCAGTATAATATTAGGGATCAGAAAATTAAAACAATTATCTTTTTAGATCTCAGTATGCATTGTCACAGTGATTCCAGAGCTGGAATGCTTCCATTTCAGAACCTGTCAACTCAGATTGGATTTGGAGTTTTTCCCACCGTGTACTAGGCCAAACCTTGGTGCAAATGGAGAAATGTTGTTGGAAAATATGTATTATGGATAACATATACAACATTTTAGTCTTCTGTTATTTATGAATGTTTATGAATACTATACTTTGGTTTATGTGATACTGACTCTTAAAACATAATTATTTTGGTTTTAAATGAGGATGAAAATTCAGGAAGAAATAAAACAAATTTTTTCCCCACATCTTACTTCTCTCCTCCCTCACCAGGCAAAGCTCACTAAAAGATGTGAACAGTTCTTATTAATTAATTCAAAATATATTGGGAAGAGAATGTCAAACAGTGTGGAACAACTTACATTTTCTGTTCTCCCTTCTAGATTAAAATCTCATTTAATTTTGCTATTTCATTAAGGTATGGTCTGATTTCAGTTTATTAACTATCTAATGATAATATGATAGTTTAGTGATTTTAGGAAATTGTTTATAATTACCATGTAGCTATCTTCTAGAGCCTCATAATATATTTTGATTTTAAAATAACAAATTTTGAAATTATGTTTGTATCAGAAATGGGCAACTAAATAGGAGGTTAGTGAAGCTGCTCATTTCTACAAGTTTTATTTTGCCTCAAAACGTTTACTTTTTGATTCAGCCTAGATTTAAAACACTAATTATTTCTACCTGAAAATTCATTACAGAATCACAGTTAAATGATTTGGGACTTAATGTCACAACTCCTCCAACACTATAATTTTATTTTGTGTCACAGATAAGCTTACTCTTATCTCTTTTAATCTACAGATTCTGTAGACTGTTATTGGAATTTCTAACATGTTCATGTTAACCATTTATAAGTTCTGTAATTTGCCAGTCAGTACTTTTTTCCTATTGTTATATATAAATTTATTAATTATATTTTTGAATTTCAAATTTCTTCAAAAATGTGTTTTCTTTGTACTCCTAGGCTTGAGAGAATGGGGGAATTTTTTTTTTTTTGCGGTACCGGGGATTGAACTCATGACCTTGCACTTGCTAGGCAGGTGCTTATGCCGCTGAACTAAATCCCTAAATCCCTAGCCCCCAAGAATGGGTAAAGTTGTTTGCATTATAGCATCAGCTTTAAATCTCTGTAAGGATTATGTGTTTATAAAAAAAGATGCAATATTAAGAGTATGTTGGTGTTCCTTTACATTATTTTTTCTATGATAGAAAAGCAGTGTGCAATATTAAATATCGAGAATGTTAGTGAACAGTGCCATTTAAAGATCAATTAATTGAATGTTCACAGAATTGGTATGCAAATTATAAACGTGTTTATAGTTATCATGTATTCTTTACAACTTTCCAGGGCTCTGTGTCCTATAGAGTATGATATACAAATTTATTTTCAGAAATGCTGTATGTAATTGCTTCTCAATCTTTGGCTAAGATTAGTGTATTTGTTATTTGAAATACGTTAATTTCCATGAAATTGCATGTTCTTGAACCTTTTTTTGCGCCACCCAAAGCATTTGTCCCAAGTTCCCTATCATACAGTATTTCATATCCACATGCTTTCATGCATTCCTTAAATGCTTTCGTTCTCATTCTTTTTCTAATTAAAGAGTTTTAAATGCATATACAAGACATGGATACCTTTTTTTTTTTTTTTTTTTTTTTTTTTGGTGGAAGTTCCAGGGTGTGAACTCCAGACTTTCAGAGTTAGCTATATTCTGCCTTGTCTCCCGTTCCCCAATGGGGTGTGTGTATGTATATATGTAGGGCCCGAGGACTGAACCCAGGACCTTTGTACCAAGCTATATCCCTAGTATTTTTTCTTAGTTTTTATTTTGAGACAGAGCCTGCCTAGGTTGCTAAGTTTTAGAGGCTGGTAGGGAAATTGCGATCCTCCTGCCTCTGCCTCCCAGAATGCTGGGGTTATAGCCATGTACCCCCATACTGGGCAACATTGATCCTTTCATGGTGCCGAGAATTCAGTTGTTTATGTGGTGTTTCTAATAATTCAGAATCTTAAGGTGCCTCCCAGAGCTAATTCTCCTCATGGTCCTAATAACAAGGCATAGGATCTTTGCCCACTGCAGTTCCCCAGGTGTTTTAGGGGTGACCTTCCACGTGTGTGGCAGAGTAGTGATAGGTATCTAGTAACACTCTTCTTCTTCAGTTTTTCCCTTCTTCCCTCCTTTTCCCCCCATTTCTTTCTTTCTCTTCTCCCTTTGCTTCCCTCCCTTTCCTTCCCCTCTCTTTCTGTTGCTCTCTTCTCTTTCCTAGTTTTAAAAATGTTTTATTTTTAACAAACACATAATTGTCCATACTCATTGACTACAATGTGATATTTTGATACACGTTGTGTAATGACCAAAGCAGAGTAGTTTATGTCTAACATCTAAAAGCTTTATTATTTCTATATAATAATAGCATTCAAAATCTTGTCTTCCAGTTATTTTTGAAACACTGAATTAAAATCCAGTGGTATGAATTCAGGAGCTTAGATTTCAATATTATTGATTTGTCTCTGTAGTTGATCATATATTTATATATTGTACATCTTTAGGAGGTTCTATTGTATGAAAAACAAAGTAAAAAACCTGGAGAAACTTTTATTTTTGTCTAGGAGACTAAAGAACCCTCCCAAAGTGTATTTTATTTTATTTTACTTTTCCTAGTATCAGGAATCGATCTCAGAACCTCGCATTTTCTGGGCAGGTGATGTGCCACTGAGCTATATCCCCAGCCCTTCCAAATTGTATTTTAAAGGAGTGCTCTGGGAGTGGTTGACCCCTATCTTTTTGTAATGAATAAGTTATTTTATATCGTGTTCTTGTTTTTTGGTTTAGATTCTATCAGTCTAGGATTCTATCGGTCTAGGAGAAAATTTTAATAAATTGGTCTAAATTTTGGATATAGTAGTCTTTTGTTTTATTCAAAACATATAATGCATAAAGAAATGAAAATATGTTGCCTGTATTTCTTCTCAGATTCCTTGCTTCCCAGCCTCAGCCACCCTCCAGAATATTGTCCGCTTGCCAGTGGTTTGCTTTTGTGGATTAGAATCAGACTTTAGTTGTATGACTGCATTTTTTTCATTTGCAAAATTTCTTTGATCAATAAGCCATTAGGTAAAATCACTGTTCACAGTGGCACAGTTTTAACTGTGTGAGAAATGAGTTATGTAAATATTCAATGGGATCAGAAGATTAGCTGAAGCTTGGAAAGAGGCCTAAAAATTTGCATGTAAAGCTTGGTGTTTGAAACTTTCTTTGATTAAAAATTCTAGTTTTCTGAGTATTTGTCTCCATATCATTTAATTCTCTTAAACTGCCTGTTCTTCAAAGGAAATCACACATTTGTAGGGAGATTGAATCAAACAAATGTCCTATTTGTGTACTGTATTTTGATCTGCTACCATTTGGTGTCACTGTAGTGCAGGACTTTTAAACTCTGCACAGTGGAGGGCTCTTTTTTTTTTTGAAAATGAAAAAATGTAGGAATTTCATGCAGATCTCTCTGCATTAAAAATGCTCAGTTTTAAAATATACCACGATATTCTTGTAGAATATTCAAATAACATAAAAAATATTGAATACAATGTGTGTCCCTTTTCTCACTATCCCACTTCATTTCACATGCATTGTTATTTTTAACAGAGACTTTTAATTCTGTTTCCTTGTGTTTACCAATGTATGCACGTTCATAAGAACATTTTGAAAATGCGTTGTTGTGAAACCTTTTGTACCAAATATTTTGAAGATGTTTTTTCTTGTTGTGCTGTTTTAAAACTCTTGTGTAATACGCCATAGCCTGTGTTATGATTTGCTTATAATTATCTTTTTAATGAAGGGAAGTTTCTGGTCCTCCACTCTTATGGTTGTATAAGAGAAACTTCT